AATGGTAGAGAAAATTGTCAGGAATCCTACTATGCCATTATTATTGCAATTGGATGGTGCTACACCCGTGAATTAGCGAAGTTAAGCTTCCTGAAGTATTTTTGTGCTTCTGTTTAGTCAAAATATTTAGTATTTTTCAACAAATTTTGCCCCATTCAAATGAATGGGAAAAAATTTCACATCTTAATAACTTCAGCATACCTTCGGCTAAAAACACAATTTCAACTGTTATCTATTCAGCAACTCTTCAGCTATTCATAATGTACACAGCTTTTTGATATCTTTAACAGTTTTTGCATAATTACTGTTTATATTTTATGCCTCATTTCAATAGCCACGACCTAGTAGTCCTCAGTCATATAAACGAATGGGAAAATTCTACTTCAGCATAATTTCAACTATCAGAATGTTCAGCTCTTCATGGACATTCATGCTTCTCTTCAGACGTTTTCTAAACTTCATACTTTTGAAATATTTAGTTTTATTTTGAAAGTTTTGCTCCATTCAAATGAATGGGAAAATTCTACTTCAGCATACCTTCAGGTAAATATGCTGTTCTGGTGTCAAAATGTTCAGCAATTTCAGCATCCACACTCATTTTCGACAGGAAGTGCATTTCTCTAGTCTAATATAATATCCCTTCCAGTGCTCCATAGACAGAATATGAGCCACTCTAGATCATATTTATAGTAACATACGTGGTGCACCCCGCCCCCACCTTGGACGCACCGACCACATTTCCTTGTTCGTGTATCCATCTTACAGACAAAGACTGAAACAAACCCTGTCACCAAACAAATTAAACTCTGAACCCCAGAGACTGAAGGCACGCTGCAGGACTGTTTCGCCCAGACAGACTAGGATGTGTTTAAAGCTGCAGCCACCTCGGAGGACTTTTCTGTCAGCGTACAGGATTATGCTGAGTATGTGACCAGGTACGTTAGTACCTGTATTGACAACATCATGCCCACCATACAAGTCAGGAGGTTCCCCAAACAGAAGCCCTGGATAAAGAGTCAGGTACGCCACATGCTGCGTGCTCACTCTCATGCATTCAGATCAGGCGATGAGACGGAGTACAAAGCTGCAAAATACAGACTGAGAAAAGCCATCACAGCGGCCAAGAGGCAATACAGAGAGAAGCTGAATGGTTTTTATTCTACTGCTGACTCCGGACAGATGTGGCAAGGCCTGCAGCACATCACAGACTACAGGACCACCACCAGCATCATCAGCTCCACAGACAGCCTGAGGAAGATCAACCCCCGCAAAGCAGCAAGACCGGTCAAACATCTCTGGGAGGGCTGGCATGTGCCAGCGAGCTGGCTAATGTTCTCACCACCATCTTCAACCTCTCCCTCAGCCAGAGCATTGTTCCCACCTGCTTTAAGACCACAACCATCGTCCCCCTTCCCAAGAAGAGCCCGGTCACCTGCCTGAACGACTACAGGCCAGTGGCGCTCACCCCAATCATTATGAAGTGTTTTGAGAGAGTGGTGCTGGCCCTCATTCAGAGTAGTATACTGGACCCCCTGCAGTATGCCTACCGGCAGAGCAGGGCCACCTCAAATGCCATCGCGGCTGCCCTCCACTATTCCCTGTCTCACCTGGAAAATGGAGACTCCTACATCAGGATATTCTTCACTGACTACAGCTCCACCTTTAACACAGTTGTCCCCCACAAACTCACCCACAAACTGTCCACACTGGGTCTGCACCCCACCCTCT